GCACTGTGGCTCTCCGCTTTCTCAAGTGTGAAATGGGAGTCACAACATGTACTTCACATGATTATTCTGAGGATTCAATGACTTAAGCTACCGAATTATTGAGTGGATGTGAATTCCACTGGGCTTTGAACGGAAGCAGTTACCCTATTTCTAGGTTTGTGCTGTCTCTCTACTAAGCGCCATAGCAAGGATTCACCCTTCCTACCTCCCAAAGTACCCACTGCATCCCTCCCGCCCAATGCTATGGCCTTTGTGCCTCTGCACCTCCTGCTCATGAAGGAACTCCTGAAAAGCTTAGAAGTATAGAAGCTACTGTGTGTTCCCCTACTCGGGCAGAAGCGCAATTAATCTCTTGGGCCCCCAAACTCTTCAGTAGATTTTGATGTAACAGCCAGCAGACACTAATTGATAAGTTTTGCTATGTTCTCCAGCTCCACAGGACCTCAGGAGACACTGATCCAGCAACTATTTCCACAGGGAAAGCCAGGACCAGGCTTGGGACTAAAGTCCTTATAATTCCACAGGCAGAAGCCTCTAATCAGGTCCCTAATGAGAGTTCGAGATCAATCCACCTACAAGGGTTGAGGGAAGACTGGTGATTGGAGGATTGTCCTATGCATGCCTGCTAATAAGGCCAGAGGGAAGGGAATCCCAAGAAAGACTTACTTTCTTTTTAGTCCTTAGTCAGAAAGAGCCTGGGACCTTAGAGAGTGGTTTTAGCAAGACTCATGAGGCAGGTTGTGAGAGGAGGGACGATGTTTTCAAAAGGAGGCAGCCTGGGTGTGAGGCACTACCTGCAGACACCAGCCTCCTGCTCCTTCCCTTCTCATCTGGATATTAGTCTGCATTCTCTTCCCTCCACCATGCCCCACAACTCTGCTGTTCTCCCATTTTTCTTCCTGTCTGAGCCTCTTTGTTTTTAAATTCCATATTAACAAATGCATCTACTTCATAATTTTCAATGCCTATATATTTTTATAACTGCTCAATGATTTCTTTAAAGAACCTCATATCTTACCCATTGATAGTTTCTAGTTTTCCACTATCTTTTTGTAGCTATTTCCTACAATGAAATTGAATCTATATAAAAACAAAAACCCTACAAACTAACAATGCATTGGTCCATTCAGATAAGTTCACTGTTGAATTCTACAAAAGCACCAGAGAAGTTAGAACTTCTTATTTAATATTCTCCCTAAGATTTTTCTCTGTGAGACCGGGACTTGCTACGTACTTCAGACTGGTCTTGAACTTACACTACATAGTCAACTCTGGCCTGAATTTATGGCAATCCTGATGCCTCCGCCTCCTAGTGCTAAGATTACAAGTGTGTACCACCATCCCTGAATCCACCCTACGATTGTTAATGAAATTGAAAGAGAAGAAGTACTCCCAAAGTCATTTCTGGAAGTCACCATTACCCTGATTCCAAAACAGGACAAAGATTTAACCGAAATAGAGAAATACAGACCAATCTCATGAATATAGATGTAAAACTCCTCAAGAAGATTCTGGCACTGTGAATAAAGGAATGTATAGAGGTTGGGATGGAAACAAAAGCACTAGAATGAGTTTACTCTTTTTTTTTCTTTATTAAATTTATTGGTACATATTAGGTATACAATACAGTTACATTCCTCATTGGGATCTTGTACCTATACATGACTTATCAGGTTCTTATTTTTCTCCATTCCCCAGTCCTCCCCTCAGCCCCTCCACCCTTCCCTGTTTACAAAGACATTATTTCCATGTTCTTCCTTTTCACATATTTTTTCTTTTCCCTTTTTCCCTTTCTGCTACTCCTCCTACTTCCTCTACTCTAGAGTGTCATCCAGAAGATTATACACCCTGACCAAGTCTGATTTATCCCTGGGATGAAAGGATGGTTCAACATACATAAATCAATAAATGTAATACACTATACTAACAGAATCAAGTACAATAACTATATGATCATCTCAATACATGCATAAAAATCATTCAACAAAATTCAACACCCATTTATGATAAAAACCCTACAGAAAATTGTAATAGATGGTCTTTATCTCAACTTGATTAAGTCTATCTATGAAAAGCCAACAGCCAACATCATACTGAATGGTCAAAAACTGAAACCCTTCACACTAAAATCAGGAACAAGACAAGGATGTCCACTGTCACCACTCCTGTTCCATTTAGTTCTGGAAACATTGGCCACAGCAATTAGACATGAGAAAGAAATAAAAGCAATAAAGATAGGAAAGAAAAAAATGAAACTGTCATTATTTGCTGATGATATGATATTCTACGTAGAAGACCAAAAAACTCTGCCAAAAGGCTTCTAGACTTGATTGACAGATTCTGTAGAGTAGCTGGATACAAGGTAAATACTAAAAAATCAATAGCCTTCTTCTACACAAATAACAGACTTACTGAGAATGAAATTAGGGAAACAATACTTTCACAAT